AAAAAAACTATGTATTTCTTTGTTAGTAATTGTTTAGCTATTAAAAGTATATTTTTAAAAAGGGAATAAAAATTGCTCACCATATGAAAATATTCTTGGAGAAGTTAATTTTACTGAAGAAAGAGCACCTAAATGATTTAAAACTGCACACCTATATCCATGATATTGAGCATAATGCACAAATGTTCTAATGTAAACACTTTCTGATGTATTTGCTATTCCTGGACACACAGCAATCGTTACATTATCTGTTACAAAAAATACAATAGAAATAAAAATATTGATTTATTTTACTTAAAAGGAATCAGAGAGCAATATCACAGGTACCATCAAAACAAGGTCCTAAAGGTTCATACACATCATATGTTAATGTAGAACCATCTTCTAAAGATAAAAATGTTCTTTTTCCAACAGGCCAAGGGCAACGCAGTCTACCCAAAAGACTATGAAGAATTGTCTGTACATGACCATTAAATCCCCACAGTCGGGGTGGCGTATACCTGAAGGAAAAATTGTATCCCAGTTATATATGGAAATGAAACTATAAAAACCTATTAAAATTTCAGGTAAGTACTACTTTAAGAATTATATACTAACGGATCATTAAAAATAGGAGACAATTTGAAAATAGTTTCTAGAAAAGAAATATCTTGGCACACTATCACTGGTTTTTGTGGTTGACTATTTACATTTAAAACTCTGAATAAAAGACATAGCACAACTGCTACCACAGCTAAAACATACATATTTTAGATAATGTTAATTCTTTCTAATTTTTTTCAATTCCAAACAATGTAACGAGTTAAACTCTTTAAACATTCTAACCACTCCCTCAAAACATTGATAAAAATGTTTCTAGTGGTAATAAAAAATTTTTATTATCTAACTACTTCAACAAAAATTAGTTTTTGTCATGTTGGTAATTTTGCAAACTTATTGTTGTTCAAATATTTCAAATCTTTGAAAAGTTAAATTTTATTTTACTTAGAATAATTGAATGACAAAAAGTTTTACTCATGATTTTTCTAATAAAAAATAAATTTCCAAGGAAACGGATAAATGTTTTACAAGGTAGCGTTTATTTTGGGAGTTTTTAATTAATTTCAGGTTTATATTACTAAATTGTAGATAAAATTTTTACTTTTGCTATAAAAATTTTTCAAACACTTGAAGTGACAGATTTTTTTTTTTTTTTAAATTTTTTAAAAATCTATATTGTGCAATTAATTTACAAGAATCTTTATTAAATCTTTAACAACATAGTTAATTTTTTTTTTTTGGTAAAAAAACAAAAAAAAAGTTTTCTGATAAAACATTTTGTTAGTAATAATTATTAAATATTTACTTTTTACTTAGAAAGCAGATAATAAAAATTTAATAATGAACAAGATTAAAAAATAAAACTTTTGAGCTATAGTTAGAAGTACAAACTCAATTTTACAAAAAAAAAATTCTTTTTTTTCAAAAATGCAAGTCATTGAAAAAAATTTATACATTCTTAATTTTTTATTATCTTTCATAATAATAATAATAATAATGAAAATGTTTTTATTCAGGCAAATGTGTCTTTTATATTTATTTTCATATCAGGTTTTAGATTAAAAGAACATATATGAATTAGTAGGCAGAAAAAAAAAAAATTTTTTTTAACTTTGAATTTAATTTATAACTGTCTTTTACAGTTTGTTCTAGGATTTAACATGAGAAATAATACGCCGTAGTTACATCCGCTTGTATCAAATTTAAAAAAAATTTAGAATTGATTTGCATGGCGTCCATTACTATTCAATTGCAAATGGTAAACAGAACGAATAGAATTGCATTCTTTGCTTCTGTGTATGTGAGTATAATTTAATTTTTTATAATCAAAACTGTAAATTAAACAATAACTGTAAACAGAATTCATTGTCGAAATTTTATTTTAATTTAATGTGTATTTTTAAATTATTTGCGTAACAAATAAATCCTTTTTTTTATCGTTAATTAATTTTTAACGCATAAAAAATTTAAGCTTTTTTATGATTTCGAACGATTAATAAAAATTACAAATTTTTTGCTTCGGTTAATATTAGCTCTAAGTTTTAATTAAATGAAAAATTAAATTCTTAAAAAATTTTTGCAAAAACTTTTGTCTATTATTTTGAAAACTACGAATGGCGGAAAAAAATTGATTGGTTAAAATCAGTTGAAAATTGTATTACATAAATATTTAATGAAAATGATATTTTTATAAAAATATTATTTTGAATCTCATATTTTATTTTATTTGCAAAGAATTTATAATGCATTCGAGCTACATTAATTTTTTATGTTTTTAAATTTTAAAATAGTATATGCGTAAGTTTTTTTTTATTTTATTAAAGGAGGGAATCAAACCGTGGTTTTAGTTTTTGCCGCACTAATTCTATAACCACGAAAGAGCGCCTGAACTTGTTAAAGTTTGTTAACTGATGTGCAAAGTTGTTGTTATTTAGAACTGAAGCATAAAATAAGGTATCATTTTAACTTATTCTTTAAAAGATTAATAAATTATTATGGCAGTTTCTTCGGTTACATCACCGGCTCAGTGTGTGGAAGAAGAAAGTGAAGATTATGGCCCATCGTCAATAAAAAAATTAGAGGGCCAGGGAATCACATCTGGGGATATTAAAAAGTTAGAAGAAGCTGGATATTACACGGTTGAAGCAGTAGCTTTTGCTCCCAAAAAAAGCCTGGCACAAATAAAGGGGATTAGTGAAGCTAAAGTGGAAAAAATAATTGTAAAATTAAAATAGTATAAAGTTTTTTTTTTTTTTTGTTTTTAAACATGGCTTTATTAATATATATATATATATATGTTTTCTTTAGTCTGAAGCTTACAAATTAGTTCCTATGGGATTTACAACGGCTACAGAATTTCATCAAAAAAGAGCAGAACTTATTTTGTTAACAACAGGGTCTAAGGAATTAGATAAATTATTGGGAGGTGGAATAGAAACAGGTTCAATAACAGAAATTTTTGGAGAGTTTAGAACTGGTAAAACTCAACTTTGTCATACATTGGCCGTCACTTGTCAGGTTAGATATTAGTATTTAAAAGTTTTCAAATCATAAAGAAACAATGACAAATAAAAAAAATTAAATTTCAGCTACCCATAGATCAAAATGGAGGAGAGGGTAAATGTTTATACATTGATACCGAAGGAACATTTAGGCCTGAAAGGCTTATAGCAGTGGCTGAAAGATTTAAATTGTCCCTCAGTGATGTGTTAGATAATGTTGCAGTCGCTAGAGCTTATAATACTGATCATCAAACTCAACTTTTGTTAATGGCTTCAGCTATGATGTCTGAATCAAGGTAAAAGAAAAAGTTCTTTAATTAAATAATATAAATTATTTTTAATTATTATTATTATGTTTCAGAAAGTTAAATTGCAAATATTATTATAGTATTCGTAAAAAAATATTTACGTGAATTTTTTTTAAAAAGAATTATTCAATTTTTTTTTTTTTTTTTTGCTTTATTTTAATTACTTAAAACTTTTAGGTATGCCCTTCTTATAATTGACAGTGCGACTGCTTTGTACAGAACTGATTATTCTGGAAGAGGAGAATTATCTGCTCGTCAAATGCATCTTGCAAGGTTTTTGAGAATGTGTCTAAGATTGGCTGATGAGGTAAAAAATTAATTAATTCAAGTTTGCTTTTTTTTTTAATGTACACATTGTATTAATATAATTTTGTTCAGTTTGGAGTAGCTGTGATACTTACAAATCAAGTGGTAGCTCAAGTTGATTGTGCAACAATGTTTGCTGCTGATCCTAAAAAACCTGTAGGAGGAAACATCATGGCTCATTCATCTACAACAAGATTGTATTTAAGGAAAGGAAGAGGTGAAACAAGAATATGTAAAATTTATGACAGTCCTTGCTTGCCTGAGTCAGAGGCCATGTTTGCTATAAATAGCGATGGAATTGGTGATGCTAAAGAATAATTTGTAAATATCATATTATTTTTTCTTTTTTCGATTTAATATCCATATTGTTTAAATAAGTTAATGCAGTGTTTTTACATAGTGACACATTTTACTTAGTAAAATAAAAATTTTTTATAATTCAATAGAATTAATATTATAAATGAAATGAAATTGAATTATATAATAATTTATTTATTTAAAAATCAACAATATTATAAATATATTACATATGTAGAAGAAAAAAAAAAAGTTTAAATTAGAAACATTTTTTTCTCTGTGTGTAATTATTAAGTACTGGAGCTTAATTTATTATTTAATAATTATTTATTAAAAAACAGGAAAAATTATTATTTTATAGATCTTGCAAAACGCAGTTGATTGCTTCATGACTACCTAAGTAATAATGAAAAACTAATTGAAGACAGATAAATAAATATTTTATAACAACAACAACAATAGAGGACTATATTCATGTAATGAATTATTTAAGACTCATTCAAAACAGATTCCAAAGGTAAGTAAATTTAATATTTATTTTACTAATATTAATCAAAACTCGAATTAATTTCAAAATCGTTTCGGTAATTAAACCTTTGAGCAAGATAGAATTTTTATTACAAAATTTTATTTTTAATCAAACCTATTTCATCGATTTCACTTGTTATAATATCACCTGGAATAAGAAACTCTGGAGGATTTCTTGCAAATCCTACTCCCGACGGTGTTCCAGTTAAAATTATATCTCCCGGTAATAGCGTGACACACCTAAAAACCAAAAAAATTTATTTTAATATTTGCATTTTAATACGATTTTAAAATCTGTTTTTATTACTCTAATAAATGTCGTGAAAAAATAATTTATTACTTTACGCATTTTGATTTAGTAATAAAAAAAATAGAAAATCGCGAGAGGCAACTAATTTTTATTCTGCTTACAAAACTTTATTGAAAAGGAAATAAGTTAAAACTTTTTCTTTTTTTTTTTTTGTTGAAAAATTCATTTTGTTTCCAAGCTTAATATGAAACTTATGTACAGTTTATGTTATTAATTTATGATTTTAAATTATTGATAATAAATTATATGTATAAAATTTACAGGTATAGGCTAGGCTCAGGGCGTTGCTATTAAAAAGGTTATTTTTAAGAGACATAGGTTCCTGATAAAAAAATTCTTGTATTTCTTCTTTTGTTGTTGTTTAAGGACTCAGGTACAAAATAGGTGCATTATTTTGTTATTGTAAATATGCTTGATTGAATCTAATTAGTATTTCAATATATAGAAACTCAATTATAAACCTCAAATCTGCATATTTAAAAAGAATGGCAAAATATCTTTGATTTGTTAATATTATTTTTAAATAAAACCTTTTGATTATTTATTTCTTAGTATTAATTTGAGGTTCATCATAATCTATAGGTATTGAACCTTTTGATAATATATATATATATATTTAATATACTCTTATTTTTATTATTATTATTTACCCAAATACATACCTTGAAAGTCTTGATATTAAATAACTTATTGGATGAATTAAATTCTTTGTGTTTGAATCTTGTTTTATTTCATCATTTACTTTTGTTCTAAGACCTAAATTATATACATCTTTTATATATTCTTTTTTTACAACAGCTGGACCTAATGGGCAAAATGTATCCATTGCCTTTCCAAGTAAAAACTGTCCTCCATTAAACATTTTTTGCCAATCTCTGGCTGATATATCTTGAGCTATAGTATAGCCAAATATGTAATCAGACGATGTAGTTTCAGGTATATTATATGCTTTTCTCCCAATGACAACAGCTAGTTCTACCTCCCAATCAACTTTCTATTAATAAATTTGATTATGGTTAGTGATAAATATTTTCCTTAAAAATGAAATGACGGTACACTCTTATAAATGTTTAGAAGGCATTTGTTAACTTACTGAAGAGGCAGGAGGATATTTAATATTATCATTAGGTCCAATAATACAGCTACTAAATTTAGAAAAAAATATAGGTTCTTGAGGAAATGGCAATCCATATTCATTACAATGATCTTTATAATTGAGGGCAACACAAATGATTTTATCTGGATTTGTTATTGGAGGCAGTAATTTAACATCTTCTTGTAAAATTGATTCAGATGAACTTTTTAGAGTTCTGATGAGAAAAAATATATATATATATTCTGATTCAAAGTGTAATTTTTTGTTTTTAAATTTAAATAATTATTTACTTTTGTAAGTATCATATCCCTGTACTTGAATACTTTGCAAAATGAGTTTAAAAAATTGTTTTGAAAAACAAAAAAAGTGTATTCAAAGCTTACTTTTTAACATCAGTTAAAAGATCATTTCCTCCCCTAATTAATTCTAATAATGAATTTGGTAGGTTTGAATTATTTGCATTTAAATCCACTATTTTTCCATTTGGCTCTAATTGAATCCCAAGTCTTGGTAATTTAGTTTTGTAACAAAATTGTACAAATCTCATTTCGATGTGAATTTTAATAAATAATTAATAAAAAAAATAAATAAATAAAATTTTTATAACGTAATATTCATAATTTAGGCAATAATTTCATTGATAGATATTTATATGTCTTTTCACCGACATGTATCCAAACATACTTGAAACGTGTTACGTAATTATAATTTAAATAAAATGGCAAACATTATAAATAATAAAAAATTAATTTCTACAATTATTTTCGATTTGGATAATACTATAATTCAAACGAGAAAAGCAGATAAAATTGCTTGTCGTAAGGTAATGTGATTCATTGTTGTTAAATCGTATTAATCAAACTTATTAATAATTAAACATAAATTTAACGTCATTCTTTTTTTTTTTTTTTTTAAATCTTTACAATATTGGAATTTTTTAAAAATAATTTTTCAATTAACTGTCGTAGTTTTAAGAGTAAACTCAATTCAATCAATACTGACCTCTGTTGATGGGAGCCCAAACTCACAAAATTATTATTTATTCTAAAATTAAAT